TCAGTGAAGCAGAACATGTTGTTGATTTTATCCAGCTAATTTATTTTACCTATAAAATCCTATAAGGAGATTTAAGATTTACTTTGAGTCTACTAAATGATTCAGTTAGATTTTGTAATCTACGTTTCATAAATAGAACTTTGAAATGTTGTTCTAATTGAATAAGTAGTATTTACTGAATAATTTTCTTTACATTAGTGAATTATCCTACCATAAGAATATTTTTAATATCTTTCAATATAAAAGTTATTATTTTGCAGGATAATGATTTTCCTTTCTCAGTTGTTGAAAATATTTTAGAAAGTTAAGATAATTTGTAGAAAAGTCATCCGTTTACTCTAATGGTAGAGACCTTGAACGACATGGCTCAGAATCGTTTGCAATGGCTCAAGTGCATGCATTCATTCTGTTCTCTCACATTCTATCTTTCTAAATTCCTAATCATCTCTATCTTTCTCTTTCTAAATTTATCTCACTTAATTATACTTTTCTAATCATATCGGCAACAGTAGACAACTGTTCCGACTTATCAAGGAAACTGGTATTAGGAATTCTAGTGTAAGTGAGACTATCTCGGAAAAGGATGGGACTATTATTTATTCTCAATGCAGGAGACTGGATCGATGGGCAGAACACTTTAGAGATCAGTTCAACTGGCCTCGAGCCACTCTCCAGTCATCTTGAATGGCAAATCGACGTAAGTCCCCCTAGTCTTATTGAAGTTGAGAAAGCGTTAGGAAATCTCAAGCGAGGGCGAGCTGCAGGTCCTGATAGACTGACCCCTGAGATATTTAAGGATGGTGGTCCAGTTTTATCAGCTAGGTGGACTGAAATCTTAGGTAGAATCTGAAAACTGGACGTAATCCCATCCGACTGGTCTCAATACTTGATTATCCCAATTTATAAGAAAGGACAAAAGTCTTCTTGTGACAACCACAGGGGAATAAGTCTAACTAATATAGTATCTAAAATTTTGGCCTCAATAATCAGCGCTTAACGAAAGCTCGTGAAGAGCAGACTCGAGAAAACCAGTCTGGTTTTCGACCTGGACGTGGTTGTATAGACCACATCTTCACACTCAGACAGGTCCTGGAACACAGACACACATTTAGGCGTCCTACAATAGTTGTTTTCCTGGACCTAAAAGCGGCATATGACTAAGTGGACCGTAAGGTTCTGTGGCAGTGTCTGTCATTGAAAAGTGTACCAAAGAAGTACATTAACCTTATACAAGCTCTCTACTGGACCACCACTGGTCGAGTGAGAACTTATGGCGAACTGTCACCGGAATTCTCTACTTCAAGTGGTGTCCGTCAGGGCTGTCCACTCTCTCCATTCTTGTTTAACTTTGTTGTAGACATCCTCCTAGAAATAACCTTATCCTCGTCTGAATTTTCAGGAGTAGACCTTTTTACCAGGTGGCTCGCTTCTTGACTTAGAATATGCCGATGACATAGTTCTACTTGGTGAAGACGCTGAAAAAGTGCAGAGTCTTCTGACCACCCTAAGCAACAATGCAAGCATGTTCGGGATGCGGTTCTCACCCTCGAAATGCAAAATGTTGCTTCAAGACTGGGTTGCATCGGCACCTGAACTAGTGATAGGGAGTGAAGTAGTCGAGCGTGTAGACCGCTTCACTTATCTCAGGAGTCTCGTCAGTGCTGATGGCTTGGTGACTGACGAAATCTCAGCTCGGATACAGAAGGCTCGATTTGCTTTTGCCAACCTGCGTCACTTATGGCGTAGGCGAGATATCCGTTTGCTGACTAAAGGACGAGTGTACTGCGCAGTGGCTCGCTCCGTCTTACTTTATGGCTGTGAAACATGGCCAGTGAGAGTAGAAGATATTCGTAGGTTACTGGTTTTCGATCATAGGTGTCTTCGGAGCATTGCTCGTATATCCTGGGACACCCGAGGAGCAACGCTGTTATTAGGAATCGAGTGCTAGGTAAGAATGGCAGATCAATCGATGAAGTGGTGAAACTTCATCAGTTGAGGTGGTTGGGACATGTGTTGCGTATGCCTAACCACTGACTACCTCGACGAGTTATGTTTTGTAGTGTAGGAGTAGGTTGGAAGAAAGCCAGGGGCGGCCAAACCAAAACATGGCAGAAATCCATGAAGTCATTGACGAGTGGACTGGTTGGGGTCCACGAGATGATAATAATCGATGGTTAGAGACCTTGAATGACATGGCTCAAAATCGTTCGCAGTGGCGCCAGTGCATTTATTCTTTGTGTTCTCTCAAATCCTAATCTTCTGGGTTCTTCAACAACTCTAGTTCTGACTTTCTAGACTTTTCCCATTAAATCATACTTCTTGAATAATATCTTCTAATTCTAACCTCTCCGATTACTTCTAATACCTTTACTACCTTTTCTACTATTGGATTTGAATTGACAATTACATCTCTGTGCTGATGCGTTATCGCAACATGAAGTGATGTACTTACGTACGAAGTTCTACGTTGCATTTGACTGACTGACTGACTGAATCATATCGCTCTAATATGAATTATACCTTTTCAAAAAAACTCAGCGCTTTTTGAAATGTATTTACAAAACACTTGAAATTGATAGCATACAATCAGTCTAAGGGTTAAGTCCATTAAGTCATTGAATAATAGTAATAATAAACGGGTTCGTGGCTAGCAGTAGGATTCAAGACTCTCATTTCGTCCTATTCGAGACTTGTCGTCTAGAATGCTTCTTCATCCCAACAAGTAGGTCAAAACATGGTTTCTGAATTTCAATTCCAGCCCAAAAGTCCTACCATTCTGTAAAGTTTTGTGAAATTGACTTATTTCATGACCATTCACACAGGATACACATAAATTCCAGCGAAAACTGATCAGAATTCAGTTAATATGATTAACATCAAGGAAAGTTAAGATTTTTTCTAATAATGTGACATAAATCATATTCAGTTATTTCTAGTGATGTACTACTATTCAGTGCCTACACGAAGCTGTTCACTATTATTATTATTATTATTATTATTATTATTATTATTATTATTATCATCAAGATATCCATTTTTTTCTTTTAAAACTACTATCTTTATCATATTCATTAATGATGAGTGTACGTTTGTTTGTTTGCGTGTGTGTGTATTATTGAATTTTAGACCAGAAAACAATGTCGTCGTCGTCATCATCGTCATCGTCTAATTTAGAAGCACCTCCATTAATGAGAAAATTTCTAATTGGACAATTATTTCACAATACTACTAATCAATTACCAATTTATAATGCAATTCGACAAGTTTGGGAAATGAATATCGTGGATAATAACAATAATAATGATGATAAAACTAATAAATCAAAAAAATTATTATCATGGTGTATGCTATGGTTACAAGGTAGAATAACTAACATTTATCAATCAACTAATAATAATAATAATAATACTCATAATTTCATATTAGATGATGGTACAGGGAAATTATTAATTATTTATGAATTAGACAAAAATCAACCAGTAAATTATCAAGTAACTGTTGGTGATTATGTTGCTGTGGTTGGTAAATTAATTCAACCTAAGCATAACAATAATGATAATGATAAGGATGATAATCATCATCATAATACAAATGAATTATTGAATGGTTGGCATATTCTAGCTAAAAGTGTAACACATTTAAATGATCAAACTAAGTCAATCTCATCATCAACCTCATCGTCCACATCATCCACATCTTCTCCGTTATCATCAAGGAAGACGATGTCGAATTCAGCATTTTATGAATTATCTTGGCCTTTAGAAGTTATCGATATGACGTATTCTGTGTAATTCGCATAACTAAAGCAAAATCTGAACATGTTTGTAAATAGAATTTGATGATGATGTATAAAATAAAATTATTCACAGAGAGGACTCTTTTTTTTCTTACTTTTTATTTCTCAACAGTTATCTGTTCCTCAACGTTTTTGTTTGAATCGGATTGCTGACAATTACACTTTTTGGTGATTAGATAGAGTTCTTCTATGATAATAATAATTATTTTCAAAAATAAACAAACGTAGAAATCATTGTATGTGTGTAGTAAGAGGTTAAGTTTTACTATAGTCCTTATTTATTTATCAACGATTTATGGATTGTAAATAGATTTGCAGGTGTTTACAGGTTTCTTCAGTTATTTAGTGTTAGGTAGTTAGCTTCGGGCAGCATACAAACCGTTGACACAAAACACTATCTTTCTTCTATACCGGCCTGAACTTTGATGCCTTCATTGATATTTAAAAAATTTGTTAGTATTCAGTTGAATATATATAATATCACGAAGATTATTTGTAAAAATTATCCAGTCAGTTACTAACGGGTAAATATTTGTGGGATAAGGTTGTTTCAGTAGTAGCATGTAACTAGTCTGATCTTAAGTAAAGCTTAAGTGTAAGGTATTTGTCTATTATATATGAGCATATTAGACTCAATCTACTTTATGCATGGCTACATGTCTTTTTTAAATATTTGTGTAGCCATAGATGATTTTAATTTTAAATTTGTGTCTGTTATAATGCTGCTGCGTAGCTATTCAAATCCTACCGATGTCCGAATTCAAATATTCCAATACAACCCAAATATTATTGCCAAATCTCGTATATATCAGAACGCAACACCGTTGGATGGAGTTGTTTATTGGGTCGAGTACAGAAGAGAGGTAGGCAGGAAGGAACGGAATCATGAAGTCTTACAGATAGTGCGTATTTATACATTTAGGTTGAATAGGAAAGAGCATCAAAGTCTGTGGCGTTGACAGTTTAGGACGACTAATCGGAAAAAAACATTTGAGATAACATCGACAGTCCTGATGACCAATCAGAGATAACATTGAAGTATTTGACTTTGACAGTTAGAACGACCATATTTTTGACCAGTAGGATTATACTTCCAAAAATAGTACTCTTAGGATATTTGGTGAATATCCTAACAGTATCATTACTTAAACATCAAAAGAAAATAATACCATTAAAAACCTGGAAACACTGGATGTCCATTTTGTCTTACTATAGGACTCCTCAGCAATACGATCTGTCCGAAAATGCCTAACCTCTAGACCATTGAGCCGGCATCTAACGGCGTTAATGACCACCTTCAGTCAATCCATGATGTTGTGCGATCATCACATATTGTCTTCGGTGATTAACTGCTTCGCTTTACCTAACACAGTTGAAGCCGTAACTAGTTGATTTCAACCGTTCTGATGCTCCTTTATTTTAAACAATCTTCCAGCTGGTTTAAGTTCATCATTTAAATTACTTAAAATTCAATTTAGCAATTGTATAAAACAACATACTCTAACTAAAACGAAAAAACATAACAATATTCCGGAAGGATAAAAAACTAACAAAAAATCATAAAACTCTTGTAGCGATAGACTATGATCAGAATTCATTATTAATTTTTGTGTGATTAAATTGGAAGTTTCATGTAGAACCATAAGAAGTGGAAAATATTAAGGGAACAACAAGCATTAATACTGACTGATGAATATACATATAGATCAGTCAGTCAGTCAGTCAGATGCACCGTAGAACTTTGTACGCAAGTACATCAGTTTATGTTGCTATACCACATCAGCACAGAGATATAATTGTTAATTCAAATCCAATAGTAGAAGAGGTTGTAAAAGTATTAGAAATAATCGGAGAGGTTAGGATTAGAAGATACTATTCAAGAAGTATGATTCAGTGAGAAAAGTTTCGAAAGTCAAAACTAGAGGGGTTGAAGAATCCAGAAGATTAATACATATATATAATAATATAAGAAATGAAAACACTTAAGGTTTAAAAATAATTCTTAATTAAAATCAGTAGACTAGTAATAATATTAAAAAATGATGCGATTTAAAGAAAATTCAATCACAACTATTTAAGAGGGGAAGTATTGATTGTCGTTTACTTTTGTGAACAGATATCCTACCTACTGTAAACTCATGACAAGCGGTTCTAAGTAGTGGAAAATTCTCTGAATTCTGATTACAAGAAAGTATGAGTTTTCGCTTCATTCTATGTAGAGTTTTCAGTAGTTTATCTTGTTCAACCCCAGGCCACAACCTTGAACCTCTCTCTTGTTTCCGTGTAAGTATCAATTATTGACCTTGGAAAATCTTCCAGATCTCAAAAATGAATGTAGATAACTTTTATGTTTTGTACTTGATGTAACGCCAAACCACTGTACTAATGACACCCGAACGTTAGACCCCTCCGTTCAAAAATAAGAAGACGGAAGACGTTGGAGAACACTTCTTACCAGAATCAAAAATGTACAATCAAACATGCGTATCTATACAATTATATAAATGTCGTTAAATATTTTGAACATGAATCAAATAGTTCATCATGAACATTGATCATATAGTTCATCATTAATCAAATAGTTTATCATGAACATTAATCAAATAGTTCATCAATCCACAATGTGCGTGGCTTTCTTCTCGATTGGCTATCCCAACAATAACACCAAAATGAAAGTATTGTTGTTTGTTCTTTCAGCGTACCTTATTGTACACATAAAATGCGAAGTGAATAAGAAGGTATTTATCTCGTTTCATTATTTAAGTGGTGCACAAAGTATGCTCTAATTTATATGAATATGATTACAGAACTTCCAGATAATATTTGATATAAATGACAGGCTCCAGGTGAAAACGTCAAACTATGTGATCTATTAAGTTTTTTTAATATTCTCAAGACTTGAGCTACTGTTTATTAGTTCAGTACATGTAAAATTCTTCAAATGATCTCATGAACAGTTTAAGGATTTATATGATTTTGAGATCTTTATCAGTTTGCACAAACATTAAAGAACATGAATGAAGTAACGAATCGTGGTTTCGTAGCTTTCTTTGAACACAGTGTGGTTGGTTTACTCTTGAAATAGTTATTATCATTAGCATCAACTTGAAAAATCCTGTCTAAAATTCTAAAAATATCGTGATTAAGTAATTCAGACCAATGAATGACTTAATATCTTTCATAAATTCTTCAACTGAGTTTTAAATCGTTTTCATTATTTAAAATGTAAACAGATAGCTACCGATTTTAAAGATTAGTCCATTTTTGGTGTGTTCTGACGAAAAAGATTACAACTAATCCCTGTTGACTGCTTTCTTTTGAAAATTTATTTCACTGGATTATACTTCTTCAATAAAATCTTCGAACTCTAATCTTCTCCATTAACTCTGATACTACTACTACTGCTACTACTACTGTTGTGCTCGAGAACTCAGGTAAGGACATTAACAATATATATTTAAGCGAATATTACAGAGTTGTTAGGCTTATTTACAAAACCTTCCCGTGAATCATCATTTGCAAATCAATCCTTATTTGTTTCAGATTTCAGTGTTCTTTCATTCACACTGTTCAGACTTCAGTTCAGTTTACATTACCTACAAATCGCCTTCTGTTCTCATTCTTTCCTTCTCGATCTTTTGCTGTCAGATGTTTTATTTCCATTTGATATCAAATACTACTTATGTGAACATAAGTAGAGTACATCACACTACTACTACTGAGGGATTGGATTTGACAATTCCATCAGTCTGTGCTAATGTGGTATAACAACTTAAACTGATGAACCTACGTACGAAGTTCAATGGTGCAGCTGACTGACGGACTGACTGAGGAAACTGATGAAAACACTATCATAAAATGAAAATTTATTTCCCCTGTAATTGACTTCAACATAATTGTAGATATTTTCAAATGTTGGATGTTTACTGGTTTTTTTCTTTCTCAAAGATTTTATTCAATAAATTGGTTGAGCATTTCCACAAGGTTTAATTTATTATATTCATGAAGCTCTTTTGATATTTAACATTTTCAGTTGTGTTTTTTTTCTGTCCACTTAATAAAGTTACATACTTGAGTGTATATGCTGCATTTCCTAACTATGAGTATATTGTACTACATTGCACTAGATTTGTTTTTAGCCGACAGTTGCAAATGAAAACAATCAATAATTGATGTATTTGATAGTCATTAAAGTTACATTATTGAAACCATGAATCGATCAATGTTAGACCACTATTAGAAACCTGTAAGCATTGGACGGCTGTTTCGTCCTGGTATGGGACTCATCAGCAGTGCGCATTAAAGTACAATAAAATTTGACTGGATTATTACTTTTATATTCATAGGATAATAATAAAGTTGAATATTTTAGTAGCATATGCTTTAATCATGATCTTTAGTGATATCCCGATGAGTAGACATTGGTATTTTCGACGTTTCGTGACCTAATGCAAGTCATTTCTTCAGAGTAAATGAATAAATAAATCACAAATTAACAGAAATTTGAATAGTAAACAGATATGAACGAGTTCTTTAATGTCGATATGTTTATTACCAGAATACTTTAACACCATTGATCAATATAGAAATAACTATATAGAAATAACTATACCATGAGAAAACTCAGTTATGTTTGTAGTGAAATACTTTTATGAAGAGAACTCAGTTGGTGAAATGGGAACATTTATTATTGTATACCAATTGTAATAATGACTGTTTGATTGTACTCCTTTTGTTTAACTTTACCTAAAAACACTTGCTTACGCGCAACTTTCTGTTTGTGTTGCTGCCATTATTCGTTATATGCTGCTCTATATGGCGCCCACATTTTTACACATTTGAAATCATCAATCAATCATTGTTAGACCACCATTAGAAACCTGGAAGCACTGGACGGCCGTTTCGTCCCGGTATGGGACTCATCAGCAGTGTGCATCCACCACTCCCGCACCTCGCACGATTCGAATCCACATTTTTGTTGTGATTTCGGTGTTCTTTCGACACCACGAAATCACTAGCAAATATATTCTTTACCCTGGATTTACTTATTATTGCTGTGACGG